TGTCCAAGTCTACATTGCTCCCTTTATTTGGTAAGAGTAAAATGTTCTGTTTTACTATCCTTATCAGGTTTTTTATTAAGTTTAGTAGTCTTTTCACTTGTCTGTCTGCTTTCTAGATGAGAAAAATATGGGAAAATGCAAAGCTAATTAGTCTATTCTATTATCACATTCTTTTTCTTTTTGTAATATGGACCGATAGTTCCTTTGAAAGTCTTTCAAGGGTATTATTAGCACCTTCATAGCCTGGTAACTTCTTTGAAGGCTGATTGCAGTTTTGGCCCTTGTCATAGGGAATATATAATTCATTAAAAGTAAGTGCTTCATTGTGGATAGATAGAATGTAGGAGAATAGAGATAGTGGTGAAGGTAATCTCACCCCTAAGGAGTTACAGCTGTGCTAATTATCAAGCATTAAGAACAAGCCTGCCCTTAATAAGCCACAGCTGGATCCAATTAGGAGGGGTATTGTAAAAGAGTAGGTTAGCTAGTCCAGAAGTTGGATGGAGTTTGTTGGCTGTGCTGAGAAGGAGTCAGTGCTGTGAAGAGCTACCCATAAGAAATCACCAAGTAAAGTATGAAACCTTTGCATTAAGATAGCAACACTTCTTTCCCAACAGTGACTATGAAACAAAGGGTTTTCTTCTTTTTGTGATTGGTTAGTTTGCAGATCACAGGTATACTTTAGCAGTTTTTTCTGATGTTAAGAAATAGCTACTGTCAGCAGCTTGTTACATACACATTACTTTGGTAATGCACCTTCTGCCTGTTGCAATAGCAACCTCAGAACATTACCTCAGCAGCCAGAGAAATTAATTTTTACAAAAGTAAAGTAATTATAGCTATAATTAACTTCTTAGACTCGGTCTGTAGTGTAAATTTACACAGTGCTAGGTTACTGGGGTTTTTTAAAAGTAACTATGCATTTTTTTTTTTGTTTGCTTTGTTTTGTTCCTTTATATAATGCTTAGCTTAGTACATACCATTTGGGTGAGTGATGGAGAAGGAAGACTTGCACACCAGATGAAGAGGTCATAACTACAATATGTCTCATCAAAACAAGATATTTCTTAGCAGGTGGTAAAAATGAAATCCTAGTGCCATGTAGTTCTGCCCTAAATTGTTTGCACAGTTTCTGCTAACTGTATAACTGATTCCTCAGTAATAATAGTGACTATCTGGTTTTGGACACCACCTTAAGACAATGCTCAGGATGTTTCCAAGATCTGTATCTTTAATATAACTTTAAATTTTGAAGTTAGCAAACTAATGAAACATGTTTTTGGCAATTGTTGGCAACACTTTTTGTGAAAGTCCATGTTTCTGACAATTTCCTTGTTTGTTTGAAAGAGTGCATGTGTGTAGCAACTTCTTGTGTATACTGAACCAGCAGTTGTGTCACAAAATCTGATTGCAGAATTTGTGCATGTATGTGGTAAAGCTTCTAAGGGCTTCTAATTTTATCTAGGTATTGTCTTTTTTTTAGTTAGACCCTTATCTTAAAATCCCTTATGCATGCCTGTTATGTGATTCAAATTTTTATATGTGCACATGTCACGAGTAACCCAAAGTGCTATTGTATTCCATATCTGTCTGAGCCCAAAAATTGTTAGTGCCTTTTTAAGACCCTGCAGCTAGAAAACAGAACCGGGGTGGGGGGAGAACTTTGCCACGGTCCTTTTTTAAGTTGGAGCCTGGAAGCAGAGATGTCTCTCTCTCTCCTGGCAGCATTTGCTGAAGGTGGATGCTCCGTTTTGAGGGGGTTGTTTTGTGGCTTTTTTGGTTTTTTTTCTGGGCTTGCAAAAGTAGCCACTCAGAAAAACTGCATTTCACAATCAAAAACTGTTTCGGAGTGAACTTTGCAAAGCGAGCCTCAGTCCCTGGGGCCAGGTCACCCTGCATCGGTGCCAATAGACCAGTTCTTTTTCCCCAACACACCTGCAGTGAGGACAGCAGCACCAACACCAGTGGAGTCCAGCGGGTGGAAGGAGGAAGCAGCAGGAAGCGGTGCTTACTTCACACATGCCGGCAAGTCTTCATCTGCCACTAGAACTGCTCTGCAAGCTCCTACCTTCCCAGGAGGGTTTGCTGCCAACCTTCCCCCTTGTCTCCCAGACCGTGTCTTCACCTGTGAAGGCTGCCATCTTGGGGAAAGGGTCAGATGCCATTTTCCCTGTCTCCTCACATGTGGTTGCCAATGGCAGGAGCCATTTTGGAAAGGGAATTTCCACCATTTTAGGTGTCTGTTCTCTGGGAGTTTGTGAGATTTAGCAATTTTGTATCTAGTGATTATTTACTGGGGTTTTTTTGCCTGTTGCCATTTTGCTTGTTAGTAAACTGTTATTTTTTCACTTATATCTATTTGTATTTCGCTTCTCCTTATTGGTGGAAAGGGATTGGTTAAAACAAAGGGAAATAACTCATTTTAGAGTGTTCCCTTTTAAATTGTCTTAAACCAAGACAGCACATTTTCTCACATGAGTACTGTATTTGTCAGTAGTTTGATTAGAACTGCAGTAGATGAGGGCTTTAAAAGCCATGGTGAATTGTCTTTAATAAGTAATGATACAAAAAATAAATAAAAATATTCATTTTCTGATAGTGTTCACTTTTACTCTTCAACCAGAGTAGTCTGATTTCAGAGATTCTAAAGACATTTCACGTAGCCCTATAATTTTGTTATATATCTTTTAAATTAAATGTCCTCTTCTGGTTGCAAATAAACCAGTGGAAAAGGTAACTCCATCCTGCTTCCTTGCTGGAGGTTACAAACTTCCCACACCCCAGTCTGTATCAGTCAAACAAGCTGTCTTAATTTGAGCAATTTCCATAGTGTTTCTTTGCTATTTCAAATAATTTTCAGAGCAATAGATCATGGAGACATTGCACAAGAGCAAGAGTTAAGCATGGACTGTGACTTATGGAAAAAGGTGTAGTTAGAAGCAGCTGGAGTGAGGATTTGGCCTGCACAGTTGCAGTTAGAAAAGGTGTTTGATGTGTTGATGTTTTCATTTAAAGCTGCTGCTTGTGCAAGGGACAATACCAATGTGATTGTCATTACTGTTCTCTATTATGTGCTCACTGTCAGGATGCTAGGCATCCTCAGGTGTCAGGAGGGAATATGTGGATTGAAACCAATTCAAGCCTGTTGCTCTCCTCAATATTCTTCTGCTAGTTGTTCAGTTCTTATACTCTATTTTGAGCTTAGCCATGTATATGCTCCTCCCATGCTGGACTGGCTAACTCAAAGAAATATTCACACTCTCTTAATGAACGCAGAGAAAATCATTTACCAATTGATCCACTCAACTCATTGATCCAATTTGATATGAAGAATCCTTGAATATAATTCACTGCAATAATAAAGACTTATAAAATATGATAAACCAAAACTATGATAAACCCTTTATCAACAGGTTATCAAAGGTGGGGCTTCAATTTAAGTGCTGTGTGCAATTCTGGGGCCCACAATTTAAAAAGAATGTGAAGGTCTTTGAATGTGTCCAGAGAAGGACCACCAAGCTGCTGAAAGGGCTGGAAGGCATATCCTGTGAGGAGCAGCTGAGGACTCTGGGTTTGTCTAGTTTGGAGAAAAGGAGGCTGAGGGGTGACCTCATGGCTCTCTGCAGCTTCCTGAGGAAGAGACATGGAGAGGGAGGTGCTGAGCTCTTCTCCCTGGAATCCACTGACAGGATGTGTAGGAATGGTTCAAAGCTGCATCAGGGGAGGTTCAGATAAGGAAACATTTATTTACTGAGAGGGTGGTCAAACACTGGAAGAGGCTTCCTAGAGAGGTGGCTGATGCCCCAAGCCTGTCAGTGTTTAAGAGGCATTGGGACAATGCCCTTAATAATATGCTTTCAGTTTTGGCCAGCAGTGAAGTGGTCAGGCAGTTGGGCTACATGATCATTGTAGGTCTCTTCCAACTGGAACTATTCCATGCTTTTCTAAAAAATAAAATTCTAAATGTTCTGTATTACTGTAACAGCTATGATAATATTTGAAAATTGTGTGTGCTGGTAGTGTGCATTTAGGTTATAATAGTATTCCAGTAATCTTTTCCTTTTATGTAAATATCCACTTTTATTAATTTCTACTTTCTATATTCCTGCTCAGCATTTTGAAATAGTCTGTCAACCTAATAAGTTACTTAAAAAAAATTACACCATTACCCCATTCCTTCTAATGGAAAATGTGTATGCAGTTCTAGAAAAATAAAAGTATACTCTTACACAGTTAATACAGAAGTCATTTTAATGATATTGAGCATGTCTGTTGATTTGTTCTACTGGCATTTTGGGAAGATTGTGCATGAGTAAAGAGAAACAATTAATTTCTGCTATATTCCAAAATATTCAGATGTGGTACAAAGCAATGGGTGCAGTAGAGCAGAAATACCCTGATGACAATCCTTATGACACACACGCTTACCCACTGATGATTTAAAAAAAAATAATTATATTATTTTGGATCAGAGGGAACATGAGCTTTAAAGAGAAATATAAGGAGATTTTATTGATTTTAGAGTTTTGTATGAAATTTTGTATTGCTGATGCAGACAAAGCTTTCAGACTGATTGTCAGAAACATGTTTAATTCCAAGTTGATAAAATAATCAAGTTATATCTACTGCGAGCAACTAAGTACAATGCAGCAGCTCACTCACTCCCCTGCTTTTCCCCTCTCCCAGTGGGATAGGAAGGAGAATTGGAGGGAAAAAAAGTAAAACCCATGGGTTCAGATAAGAACAGTTTAATGAAACAAAGTAACATATAATAATAATAATAATAACATTAATAATGATAATAGCAATAATTATAATAAAAAGGAGAGACTGGAGCACTCCTTTTCATTTCCTTTCCTCTTTTATGTCATTATTGCTTTTTTTTTCCTGTTGGACTTCTTCCTATCCCACACCTCATTTCTTAAGGCTACCTTTCTCTTTTCCTCAGTGGGATTATGGTCTCACTGTCTCACATTCCTGTTGTTTCTTCCCATCTATAGTTACCTTAATGACTTGGACCGAATAGCAGATTCAGCCTATCTGCCAACTCAGCAAGATGTGCTTAGAGTTCGAGTCCCAACAACAGGGATCATTGAATATCCATTTGACTTACAAAGCGTCATTTTCAGGTAGAAAAAAGTTTAACACCCATTTACTTTGTTTCTTTTGTTTCCTTTTACATTAGCAATACCATGTATAAGATATTGGTCAAATGTACAAATTAGTCAACTTTTTTTAAATTTGAGCTTGGTGTTAATTTTATTTTCATGTTTTTGTCCATATATGATTAGCAGCTGTTGTGAAAGGTGTAAAGAGGATGAGAGGCAGATTTGTCTTTTTGTGAAGGTAGTTATTGATAGAAAAACTGGAAGTAATTTTTCAATAAAATTAGTACAAATGTACTATTATGAATAATTATGAAATGGAAAGGTACCACTTCTGTACTTGATTTTTATAGAAAAGTGATATTTTGCAAATTTAATGCCATTCTTACAAATAATTTCCCCCACAGATCATTTTGAGGGCAAATACAATTGCTAAAGAATAACTATGCAGTTACAAGTAGAAGTTAGACACCTGAGTGTCTAGTTACATTGAGATCCATAATAAATTTGGAGTACACTCTACGAGCAAATTTGAGTTTCTGTTTTGGCTATTAACAACTTCAGTAAATACAGATTATATCCTATTTATACTCTTAAAATTAGGCAGCCTTAGACAAGTTTGGAATTTTGACTTGCAATTTCTTGGGAGAATGGCAGGCCACCAACGTAATTCTGTGGACACATTTCTGCTGAATATACAGAGCATACATTCTAGAATTGTGACTCAAAATCATAAGTGTTTTGAATAACAGAAATTTGAGGGCTTTGAGACCCATAATAATTTAAATTCAGAAAGCACATCAAACTAAAGAGCAAATATGATAACTTATTTATTTACAACACATTCCATTAGTCTTTAATATGAATGGTAACAGTTTTAAGAAGAACCAAATTGTTTTCAACTAAATTCTTGAATTCAGTGTTTCATGTGTTTGTATGTTTATCTGCAAAGGTATTTGTGGAGTTGATACAATCATTGTTAATTTTGCAGAATGGTGGATGTAGGAGGCCAACGATCAGAAAGAAGAAAATGGATACATTGCTTTGAAAATGTCACATCTATCATGTTCCTAGTAGCTCTTAGTGAATATGATCAAGTGCTTGTGGAGTCCGACAATGAGGTAAGCAAGCATTAGCATAAATCACCAGTTTTTCAGAAAAAAATACTTTACCTAAAATTAATTTTAAATTTTATTTGCAAATTGATTAAAACACAACTATGTAGAGAGCTTTGGTGTGTGTGTTTTTACATGTTTATTTGGATATTAATTTTTTTTGACCAGTAAAGTTTAATGATAGATTGAATACTTCATGCTAAGCAACAAAACAGAAGGTTGCTAGTCCTTTTAAATGTTTTCAAAGCAGGCTGGCTTGTCCAGTCCTGGTTGTTTTCCAAATATTTACCAGCAGTTGTATGCAACTTCATGGAATGAAATGAGAAGTTCTACATGGATTAAGATGCTAATCTTCAAATAATATGATACAAACTGATCTCTTCCATGGAAGGTCAGTGGAACCCATCTATTTTGTGTTAAAGGTGGAATAGCTGACAGTAGAGAAATGTTCTTATTGTAGCTATTTTCATGGTTAATGTTGTGTAGCAGAGCCATAAAAACACAACGGGAATTAAAACAAAATTCATATATTCTTTGCTAGAACAGACCCTAAAGTAGTAAACTTCATTCCATTGACTTAAAGTATAGGATTTATATTGGCTTATATTTCCTACTTGTGTTTCTATTTCAAAGGATAACAGAAGTAAAAAACTCATGGGTGGCGATACATGAACTAAGAAGGAAAAGTGCAGGAATACCCAGTGTTATATACACAATTTTAAAAAGTAGGGGGGGAAATTTAATATTTGGACTTTTTCTTTCATAAAGACTATTCCCATTATTCATCAAACTTACATGAGTTACTCACCAACACTGTTCTATGCAAGTTTTTAGCATTCATGTACAAAATGTAGGTGAAAAAAAGAAAACATTTTAATGTTCTTCATGACTGTATATATATGTTGATTTCATTATTTAAGAGAAGGGCTGACATACCAAGGTAAAATAGATGTCCCAGGGCATTCATGATTGTATTCTCAACTTTTTCAATATTAATTTTTTTTCAAAAAAGACTAAGAGTTCTGAGAGCTTTTAAATTTATACTTTTCCCATAAAAGAAAGAAATCTCATTACAGTCTTTATATCATCAGACATCTCCTTAAAAATACAGCTGTTACAAAGAAAAAATTTTCAGTTGCTTATACAGTGAATATATCTTCTTATTTTTTTTTGTATTTTTTTTTAACTTGGAAGGTATCAGAATGCTTTTATTTTGTTTTGTAAGACATATATTTGATGTTGTGGTCCAAACAGTAATGGAGTCTAATACATCATAAAACAAAGCTTTATTGAGAAAGTAAGAAAGATGAATAACAATTCCCCCATATAGCAGCTCACCCAATCACCAATAGTGAGTACAGGATCATAAGCAATGCCATGGCTCTGGTGGATTGCCAGGGACATTTGATGTCATGGTCATCTGGCAGAAACAGCCAATCATGCAAATGCCTTTTAAATGTGGAAAAGAGTTTTGACAATGTAGGTCAGGGGCAGAGTGTTGGCAGACTGTCTAAGATAACAGTATTGGTTAAGGGACAGGGTGTCAGAAGGCAAGATGTCACTTCCACCCTGTGATTCTCTCAAATCATCATTTGACATGGAGTTATACGCAAGGGTGTTATTTTGATGGGTTGCTAGTTATATAATAATCTAGGTGAGGTTGGTGTTCCAACACCTGCAGGGTATGTTATACAGTCAGAGGTTGAAAGGTGGTGTATCACAAGACAGGTACTGTAGAATCACCTCTATCAAGTATCAGTTGTGCAGACATCTGGGAGGTGATTACTGTTATGAATGGAGAGGAGAGCTTAAACAAGTACTGCCTTTAACTCAGATTTCTGGCAGTAGCTCTGTTTGGAGGGGCCTGCACCCCAGATCCCTCTTGCTCGTGGGTTCTTAATCATAGCCAATTCGGTCTATTACAAAATTAATAATTTATTTAATAGACACAAATTTAACAGACATAAGACTTTTACAGATTACTTCGTACACAGGATAAACAAAAGAAACACTACTAGTAGATAAAAAATACAGTGCACGAGTGAGGTACCTATTATTACAGCTAGCAAAGAAATAGTATAGATTAGGATTCAATGTATCTTATCATCCAATTTCTGATGGGGCACACATAGGATCCTTTCCTCTGTTTCCAGAAAAGTAACCACAAAGATGCATCCAAGTTTCAGGAAGAAGTCCTCTGCATTTCCAGGGAGTGTGTAGGAGACTTCTACCTTGGTGAAAATTTGTGTAGCTTTTATAGTTGTAAAAGTAGAGCCTTTCAGTCTAGGATTCCTGGCTTATCTCTCCACATCTTGCTCTCAAGGCAAGGGATGTTTATTATCAGCTGGGGATCTCACCTCCCTCAGTAATTCATGTGAGGGGGGAGAATGTCCAGAGCTATGCACCAGCTGATGGACAGAGCAGATAAGCAGATAAGCTTTTTTGTGGTAGAGGGGGGATGTCCTGCCACAATTGCTACTGCATTTTCCCAATTGTTATGAGAGGCTGTGAAAAATATTACAACCAGCTTTTGTTTATATCTAGTGGCCCCAACCCCAGTCAGGGAGTGGCTTGACATGTCTGGAAAATGTTTTATAACACAGTCCACAACCCCATCCACTGATATGAAACAAAACATAAATAATGACAAAGTAGATAATTTCAAAAATTATAGCCAAAATATTTTGACAGATGGCCTGAGATATGGGAACCAAGAGGTAAGCCATGACCACAATTTGCCAATACCCCAATGAATATCTTCAGTTGCTACCTGGTGCAAGGGCTTTAGTTGTTCCTGGATTTTCTTAAGGTCAGTCTAAATGCATAGATTTTGGCTGACACAGACACAGCAGGTAGTATTTACTAATGTGCAAATGCCACTTTGTCAAGTACTCTGAATCTAGTGGTTTTGAACAGTAGTCTGTGGTACTTGAGCAACTTCTTGCTGCAGTGCTTGGATGGCATCAATTTTTGCATTTTCTATATTTTCCAGAGTAACAGAGAGATTGATGATTGCTTTATCCAGCTCAGAGACCCCTAGACAAGGAAGGAGGGTCCAGGGAAGCTGGTGAAATATGCATCCTCATTCTACTAAAGGGTTAAAACCACACCAATGTCACAGGGCATCAGGATAATTATGGACATGGGTCCTGAAGAGGTTTACTTCAACATGCATTGCAGGCACAATTAGTCTGGGTGCACAGACCTCCTCTCTCTCCATGGGAGGATTGTCATGGCACAGATGCTGCACAGCCAGTATAGGCCAGGGGTACCTATTTTGATAAGGTCACAGCAGCAAGTGGTGTCTTTCAGGCAACTGTCAATATTGGCATGGTAGGTTTGCATGGTGTAAGATGAATCCTGCTGCATGGTTTGTCATTGTTCATGGGACAGATGATAGCCCATAAAGTTTTGGAGGGCATAGAATTCTGATCCATGATTTACCAAAGTGGCAGTAAGTAGTCAGTTTTTGAGAGACTAGCCTAAATAGAGTAATATCTAACAAAGATTTCATGTGCACAGCCCCACAATTCCACCAATACCAGCATTCCTACCACAGGAAAACCTTGGTTCACAGATGCAGTATGCTATGTACAAATCCAACAATCAGTTCCCTTCCTAACATTCACCAGCACCTGAGAGAATTAGCAAGTTAGGATACCAACCAGCAAGGTTCTGGTGGACCTCTTGGGGAAGAGTGGCTGGAAAGATGCTCGGCAAAAAATGACCTGGGGGGGTTGGTCAACAATTGGCTGAATATGGGCCAGAAGTGTACCCAGGTGGCCAAGAAGGCCAATGTCATCCTGGCTTGTGTCAGTGTCATGGTTTAATCCCAGCCAGCAACCAAGCCCCATGCAGCCACTCACTCACTCCCCCACCAGTGACATCTGAGAGAGAATCAGAAGGGTAAAAGCCAGAAAACTCATGGGTTGAGATAAAGACAGTTTAATAGGGAAAGCAAAAGCCATGCACACATGTAAAGCAAACCAAGGAATTAAATGCTTCCCATGGGCAGGCAGATGTTCAGCCATCTCCAGGAGAGCAGGACCTCATCACACATAATGGTTACTTGGCGGCAAAAAATGACCTGGGGGTGTTGGTCAACAATTGGCTGAATATGGGCCAGAAGTGTACCCAGGTGGCCAAGAAGGCCAATGTCATCCTGGCTTGTGTCAGTGTCATGGTTTAATCCCAGCCAGCAACCAAGCCCCATGCAGCCACTCACTCACTCCCCCACCAGTGACATCTGAGAGAGAATCAGAAGGGTAAAAGCCAGAAAACTCATGGGTTGAGATAAAGACAGTTTAATAGGGAAAGCAAAAGCCATGCACACATGTAAAGCAAACCAAGGAATTAAATGCTTCCCATGGGCAGGCAGATGTTCAGCCATCTCCAGGAGAGCAGGACCTCATCACACATAATGGTTACTTGGGAAGACAAATGCCATCACTCCAAATATCCCCCCCTTTCTCCTTCTTCCTCCCACTTTATATACTGAGAATGATGTCATATGGTCTGGAATATCCATTTAGTCAATTTGGGTCACCTGTTCCAGCTGTGTCTCCTCCCAACCTACCATGCACCCCCAACTTCCTTGCCAGCATGGCAGTACAAAAGCAGGAAAGGCCTTGGCTCTGTGTAAGCCCTGCTCAGCAATAGCAAAAACATCTCTATATTATCAACCCTGTGTTCAGCAAAAATCCAAAACACAGCCCCATACCAGCCACTGGGAAGAAAATTAACTCTAGCCCAGCCAAAACCATCACAATCAGAAATAGCAGGGCCAGCAGGACTAGGGCAGTGATCATCCTCCTGTACTTGGCACTGGTAAGACTGCACCTTGAGTACTGCATGCAGTTTTGAGCCCCTCACAACAAGAAAGACACTGAGGTGCTGGACCGTGTCCAGAAAAGGGCAATGAAGCTAGTGAAGGGTCTGGAACACAAGTCTTATGAGGAGCTGCTGAGGGAGCTGGGGGTGTTTAGTTTGGACAAAAGGAAGCTCAG